ATTAAACGCCGATCAAGGCAACGATTTTAATGGCTTTCTTGGGTCTTATCAGAGAGATTAGCTCGCTCTCTGTTTCTCTCTCAGGCGTGCGTACCTAACAGGCCTGCTGCTTGTACTGTCAGTCGGTTATTTCAATATTACAGTGTAATAAATAGCGGAGCGCACTCGTACAGGATTAAATCGACGAAAATTATAGATCGTTCCTTGGGTGGAGGGTAGAATTGGCAAGGGGTAAGAGAACGAAACCGGCCCAGGCAAATTACATAGATCTCGCGGAATGGTAGACGCATCATAAGGTAGGCGATCTTTTCATCGGTCGATAGGGCTGAACCGAGCAAAGTGAATACAAGTAAATATAATCGATACTTTCGTTTCGATACCGAGGACTTTTAGTATCGATACTAAAGATATGAAAGCTAATGAATGTGAAGCTGGTTATCGTCCAGTTATATTACTTTGTTAATAAATGATCGTTAATATATGTTCATTAATAAAATATACCTTCGTTAAAATCGAAGACAGGCAGATTCATTGTATAGATAAAGAATTACGAATAACAAATAAAAGATAAAACTTGTAATCGTTTAAACGTGGAAATTCCAATTTTCATAACAAAATAATACTTCTTCCTGAATGAGTCGATATTCGGCAAACAATTATTTAACTTCATTCAGGTTAATACCTGATATTTTTGACGCGATACAAGTTACCAGTAAAAGACGGTATCGGTTTATCCTTATTTGTCGAGACGATCCGAAAGACGATTTGGAGAACACAGAAACGTGTGTGGGGGTTTGGATCTTGATTAAATGTTCGTAGTCGTTTTCATATCTATAAACCAGATACTTTCGATCCACGGATCCAGCAGTAAAGCGTGTATAACGAGAGGACATTAATATTTACGAATAAACCGACGAATGATTAGAATCTTTTTGCCTGCTGTGTACTCTGCAATTTTTCCAGGGCGATTTCTTTCGGGCTCGATCGTCGCATTCAGAAGGTGGTAAATAGCGTTTAATCGATTCTTAATCCCGTTCCAGGGACTGGTAAACGGATGTAATGACGCGTATATAAATGCGAGTAACGCGTTACAAACCACTGCCGAGCTGAAATCCGTCCCCGCCGCGCGCGCTGTTCGATCGCGTTCCGTCTCACGGGGCAGACCGACATTATAGAGACGCTTAATAACAGGCAATAATTGCTGTTTTTCAACGGAAACGGGCAAGGTATATGTGTCAGATCAGCCGCGATGCGTTTCACTGGCCTCCGGTCTATGATAATCCGTCCTATTCTATAACCGTTCGGTGAATATCATTAAATTTTAACGATCCGTCTTATGGCATGTTGCGCCGAATGTCCTTCGATCGCTTGATTTCTCGACTATCCCCCGGCTTCTCTCTCTCTCTCTCTTCCTCTCTCCTTTTCCTTATTTCTTCTTTCGCGTCTTTCGTTTCACCTCGCGTTGATTTCGCCATGACTAATTATATCCCCCAGATCTTTGTCTTACGATCGTGATAATCATCCGCCCTTTTTCATAAATTCTCTTCTGCTTCTTCGGATGGGCCGTGGTTCTGCTTGATTTTTCGTTCCTTTACTTATTCTCATCGTCGAAATCATGTGATCTTCTTTTCTCCATTTATCGTAGACTTCGCACTTTACATCTTCTTCGTCCTCGGCTTCTGTGCACCTTAAGTTCTTCCCTTTTCGTTATATTACATACCTTCCCCTCGTTCTCTTTTCACCTGTCCCCTCTGTTTCTGCTTCTCGACTCTGCCTGGATTTCAGCTTCCCGTGCCATTAATTACTTTACACATCTTCTTCCTTTCCCCCACCCCGGCCTTCTATTTTTTCTGTTGCTTTTAAAATTTCTTCCTCCTCCTCCTCTTCCTCCCGTTTCCTTACACTTTTTCGTTTTGTCCTCTGAACCACTGAAACGTCTACCAATTTTATTTATCACAAGACAGTCCTCTTTATTTCCTCGTTCCTTTTTATTTTCCTCTGCTCTTTTAACTTCTCACTTTACGTCCTCGGTACAAGTTCCCCCCTTCCCCCCCTTAATTGCATGTCTTCGTGTCTCGAGTTACATGTTTCATCTTTTCGGTCCTCGAACCCGTTCTGTGCTCGAGATTCTTCTTTACTGTTAAACAATTATATTCTACGCTTCCTGTAGATTATTTTCTCATTCTTTCTTTCCTGATATTTTTCAGATGATTTCTCTGTTTGATACTTCAGACCGCGAGTCACAGTACGAGATACGAACGGTTTGCCACCGTACGGCTCGTAAAGCCGAACGCCGCGAAATTTAACGAAATCCATCATCGCAGCCCATAAATCTTTCTGTCGGTTGCGTAATTATGGATTCCTGAGTACCTATATACTTCCGGGTTCTCTTTCATGAAATATCGCGGAGCCGTTTTGCAAAACGACCACCAGAGCAACGGAAGTTTTCGAATTTTTCGCGAAAAAAGCACACGATGAACTTTATACGACTATCAAGTTCTCGCGTGTGTCTTCATTCGGCGTTGAACGAATCGCTGATGAATGATCATAGTTACGATCAGGTAAGCAGTATTACAAGTGCTCACAAAATGATCAATCACTATCCAACGCTGACTTAATAAATACAAACGCACAGACCGAGGTGAAGGAGTGTGTATTGTAATGCGTGGTAATCCAAAGAGGATAATCGTAAGTGTCATTAGGTCATAACAAGGAAGGGGCGGCGAAGAAAAGAATCGACGAAGAGGCGGAAATATAGAAAGGAGAAAGTAACAAGGACCTCAGGGGCTTTCACGCTCTTGGGGCCGTAGTTAAAGGATTAAAACGACTTTTTTAAATCCGCAAACAACACCCGAAAAAAGGGTTAAAGAGATGGTCGTGGTTTAGGAGGATGTACCCGTGAAATCCGGCCATAAACGGGCCGGAAAACATCGGCGACGACGGCTCAATTCTCGAAAAATCGCCTCTTAACCCTTCCGCTACCTGCCGCGGCCCACGCCACCATTCGAACGGATGAAAAAAGAAAATTGCTACGACTCTTTGACTTTTTTATGCAACCCTTTAGACCGATAAGGATTAACGTTGCTAGTAGCCTGAACAAATCAACGAAGAATTTGCAAACAAGACTACATATAATCCAGTAAAATATAATTTCCAAATCCAATAGCGACAAGAGTTCGCTCAATCAACTCGCTCAAGATATTAAAACACTGTCGAGGGAAGAGCAGATTAATGAAAGATGGCTCTTCTCTAAGAAAAACATTTTCCTACTACCGTTCTTCCTTTTATTTTAAAGATAGATGGGAATACTTCGTCGAGAAAACCATGCCTATTATTATCTGTATGTCAGTGTCAGAGGAAACAAATGTCGAGATATGTAACTGTGAAATGGCGAATTCGAGGCGATCTGTAATAATTATCAACGTTGTAAGTTGTTTCCTTAAAAGAAAAATCGTTCCTTCTCATTAGCAGAATCAACAGCACCACGCGTGTCCAATTGTCGTCGCGAGGGGCACGTGATTCACCATGGAGAAGATCGAGAGCGTCCTAACGTTTGACGTTCAAGAGTTAAGCGCGATAATCCGAGCCCTCCGACGCGCCTTAATCCTCGACTCCGTCGTGGATTACAAGATGTAAACGGGCATTGTCCTCGTCGTAAACAAGCCGTGCGACGGGCACAAATTTAGAAAAAAAAAAAAAGAAAGAAAAAAAGCAGCCTGGTTAACCCGTTCTCCCTCTCTCTGTTACCTGCGGCCAGACAACACACATCGTCGGACTTACGAAGGGAGAGAAACGATGGCCGATTGAAATAGAAATAAAATCGATATACATACACGGCCGTGTTCGCGGGCTACACGGTATCACCAGGAAAACCGAGGAAAATGATTTTTGTATTAAAGTGAAAGACTCGCCGGGATATCTGGGGGTGGAATACATTTCTCTGAGTTCCTGGGAATTTATACAAGGGACGTGATTTGACGCGGATCCGAAAAGAAATTGAGGGACTTGTGCGGGAGTTGCTCGGTGTCCGTGGAAAGAATGCGTAAAGGTTGCGTTCGTTTAGCCCCCTTTTAGGATGTAGCAATATATTCGTGATTAGCTGCATTTTATCTGCTATAATTTATCTTTAGAACGAGTAATACACTTCAGGTTTATAAATACAAAAGACGTTCCGATGTTATTGAAGAAAGTTTCTTTGATTTTGTTAGAAATTTTATAGGTGTATATCTGACCAGTCAACGTAATAAAAACAGTCAAAATATGTGGTTATTCGAAGGATAAAAATGTCATCGGCTACTCATATTCTCTTCTATAAAACAGCAGTACCATTCGAAGGAACGACACGAAATATGTGGTAAATTTCGTCCATGGAAATTAATTACAGTATCGTGATTTTAAAAAGGGAAGAAACAAAGAACAAGAATCGTCGCCGCAGTCGGTCGAAGGGCGGCTCGAGTGTGCGACAGATAGGGAAAAGGAACGGAGAAAAGTGGTTGCTGGCTGAATGGCCGGTGTTTTACAACAGTGGCGAAAGCCGAATAACCCTCGTGGCTTTGTTGAATTGCAGCCTTCACGAAAGTACCTGCGGTAAAAATCAGCCGCCACTGTGCGTGGAAGCCTCGGGGTGGGCCTAACGGCCCCGCAAAGGGGTTAAAGCACTGTAAAACGAGCCATTATTGGCTCGTAAATAGATGTCCAGTTACGTTTTCAGCGGTCTTTTTTAATTCCCACGAGAATTTAATTGCACTTTCGACGGATTCGCGCGTAAGCCCTGTTTCTAACCCATTGGTTCGGATTTGGTAACTGTTCTTTGTCTTTACATTGATTCTTTAGTCAGAGAAAATGAAAATTGGCCCACAGAAGGGGGTTAAATTAAGTTAAATTTAGTTCTGAACGCTTTGCACCCCTTTTCCAAGGGCTTTACATGGATATGGGAGATATGGTACGTCATTTGTCGTTTGAAAAATGGGGGAAAAAATATAGTAAAAAAATGAACTCACCTGTGGGCACATTTTGCACTGGTACTTTCTCGGCGGATGCGAGTGTGGTCCGCCCAGATGGGGATTCAAATGCGACGGATGAGAGGGTTTCACGGTCAAAGGTTGCGGTACCACCAGCAAACTCGCCGGCGGGCTACCGCTGCTTGATCCTCCGGCGCCACGGTATTGTTCCTCCCCTGGAATCATCGTCGATACGCGTTAAGAAGAATATCTCGTGCCGAGTGTATGCGTGCCTTTACCTTGATCGATAAATCGTTGACGCGCTCGCGGACAGGTTTAACCGCGATTTCCGGTAAACAGAATCTGTGTTGTCGTCAAGGCGCGCGCACACGACACGGTAACGAGATTTATAAATAGATCAGCCTCTGCGCGGCTGATCCAGTTAGAATGGCGATCTCGTTTTTATGTATTTTCGACGACTGAAAGTCCGAAAGGATCGAGCAAGATTTCGAAGCGGTTTGGCCTGGTCAGATTAGAAAGTGACTATCGTAGGGATAATGTTTATTTATTTATGAGACGGTCGACGGAATAGCGATCGGTGAACGGTGTGTAATGCTCGGGGAAGAAAGATTTAGTCACGTTGCCACTCACCAAGAGGGAAAGAATATAAAATAGAGAATGAGTGAAAAAAGTAATATGTGCGAAAGCTAATGGATCGGACGCAACGTAACTACGGTAGCACACGGCGACTAATACCGAAGAGAAACGTTGTGCAAAATTCAAGGAATTCCGCTTGCGTTTATCGGGACGCGCGATCGCGAATAAAAGGGTAATAATTAGAGAGCATTACACGCGATGAAACGGAAATAAATATTGTTACAGAAATTTCCAATGGCGGTACACCCGTTTGACCGTTTTTTTGCGGCTGTCCATATTCTCGACTTTTGTGTGATGGCGATAAACAATTCCAGATGGAAGATATAACAATCTACAGAAGCATAGCCGTGATATTTAAATAAAAAAAAACGTACCGTTACCACGAGATTGGTATCAGAATTTCGATTATTAGCGGTACAATCGAATTAAGTGGCGACCAGTTTGAGCAATCGCTCGGTTACAATGTTGAATCGTTACATGGGTTATTACCACGAATAAAAAGTAATAATAATACACTTCTCTTGAACATAACATTCATTATTCGGAAACGATATTTCGAGAACCTTATTTCGAAAATTTCCATCAGCAGAAAACCGATAAAGTCGACTGTTTCGTCTAGCACTCTGGACGGCGGATAAGTGAACGATAAAATTTTATTCCTACCGAATCGTTCACCCCGTCGAAAATCTCGCGAAACGACCGTGATAAACGTCCACGTGGATAATTAATGGAAGGTAACCGGAGCGATATGAAGAATTGCACGAGTTCGAACGAACGAACGATCGCGGCATGGAATGGGGCACGCGGACCGATTGACGCAACACACCAAGGGGGCAAGGATCCAGCCAGGTTGCAAGGACGAGTGATCCTACGTTACGAGTGGCTTGTCGTTAATGTCGAGTTCTCGATATCGAGATAGCCGTGCACACTGGCGCACCTGCCAGGTGCATCCGTTCTCTGTGTGCGTGGCTCGAGCTCTTGTAGTTCTAACCAATTCGTGTCTATTACAATTTCACCTCTTTACGTCTCCTTCGCCCTTTTATTCCCGGTAATCCCAAACTGTGTGGAATAGCCGATACACAATTTTTCGATAAACTAAACCAGTGCAGTAACTCATGATAAAGAAACATTCGCGTTACATCGAAATCGACTTAACTTTGCTTACGTCCTCAGGCGGTTTAAGTAGAAGGAAATTCTGTGACACTGGAACCAGAAACCAGAAGTTTGTTTACGCGTCGAAGTACCCGTGTTACATACATGATGATTTAATAACGACCGTTTATGCTCGTTTAGAACGATGATAAGGCATCATTGGAATCGTGTGTGTCGCCTAGCGAAATCGAATGAAGATACTTTCGTGCACCTAAGAAACGAAGGTGTACGTGCAACCTGTAGAAGGATGCGACCAGGCGATCTAATAAAACCATCGAGGAGAGTTTAAATTCCTGTGTGTGTGTGTGTGTGTGTGTGTATGTTTCTATTCAGTACAATTTAAAATTCGATCACTTCGAATATTCGAATATTCGAGTACCAAATTGAATTCTACTGCTATTCAAATATTCGAGTATTTGAGTTATTCGAATATTCGTAACAGCCCTAGTCTGCTACTGGCTTTCTGACTCATGGTTCTTCCCTTGCGAATTTATAGCATTCCCAATTCCCCCTTTCATTCGTAGGGCCCCCGACGAGGTCGTCTTTCCTGTAAGATGAATTTTAGTGCGCCAAGAAAGTCGGTTCGGCCCCCCTTCTCGCACAAAAACTGGGCGGAAGCATTAGGAGGCATTAAACGGAGGAAGCTGTGTAATGAATTACGTATCTGATCTGTTTCCGGCCGGTAAGAGAAAAACTATCGCGCGGTCGACCTTGCGAGCCATCGGACATCTTGAAGAAGAAAAGGAAAAAAAAATGAAATAAGATTCAATTACGGGAGCAGTTCCTCGAGAGCCGGGGAACCGAATTACCTTGCAGCTTTTAACCGGCTCGGTTTCGACGCTCTGGTCGCCCGCCCCCAACCTTTTTCGCCTCTTTCTGCCCCGCGTGTACAACTTTTCATTTGTCAGACCCTTGTACCCATCGGGGATTTATAAAATTGAAAGGAACTCGCGGAATTTCATTAGATCGGTGGGGGAAATGAACGGCCAATTATCGAACGATTAATATTGCTAACCAACGCAGTGTGTATTGTTACTTGCTACGAATCAAATGCAAAATTTAAAGGTTACAGTCTGAAATTTTCTTTCTTCTTTTGATACAACGTTTTTTTTTTATGTGACGATAAACATATTGCCTAATTTGGATCAGTACTGGAACTTGTGATGTGTAAGCAAAGTTGTATGGTCTGTATTTTGTATGTGTAGTCTGCAATGTGAGTTCTATGGTCCAAATTCGGCAATCTTCCCATATATCTATTTCTATCGGTCGATGAACATGACAAACTTTTGAAAATATACAAATCTATAAGTCAACTGATTTCTTCACTTTCATATTGCAATAACTATTGCAAAACATCTGAGGAGATGTATTGTTATAAAATTTTAATCGTCGTTATGAGAGTATACTAAACAGCCATTTTGATTTGTTTTGTAGTCCCAGTGTTAATTAGCATTCGACCAAAGGTTCGTAGCCGTGGAAACGATGAAGCCATTGAATCAATGGTAGGAAACATTCAACCGTAAAAATCAAGAGCGACTAGACAGAGAGTATATGCATATGTAGATATATCGTTGATCCTCGATCTGGATCCGAAACGAAATCCGGGACGAATAATAAACGGTTAAATACCTGCTGTCAATAGCGGTGACGGAGAGCGGATCGCAACGCTAATTAATCTCCTTGTTAAACCGTGACGAGCGTCGCCGCGTGTTAACGCGACGTTGAAAATTTTTGCAAATCACGTTTCACCGTGCTGTGTATGTTCAGGCGTACCGAGAGGCCCCGGGATTTTTAATTCGAGCTGGAAATTCAATTCGCAGGGAATTTGCATCGCGGATAACCTGGGACTTTTTTTTCCGCGAGAAACTTTTTTTTTAATTTCACCTCAAGCTTCTGCCATCCTTTACTTCGCCCCTCGAGTAAACCTCTCGTCGTTGATCTCACTACTCGGTTTCATTACTCTAAAAAAAGATTTTTCATTCAAGACAATTCACGATTTGTTAATTAACGGTGCAAGGCAATACAATCTGAAGAAAAAAAAAACGATAAGGAAAGTTTTGACCCCAGTTTTCCTCCAGTGGTTTGTCTTTTCCCGGTTCGTTTCGAGAATCGTTTCATCTCTCGCCACGGCATGTTTTTAATTCACGATTGTTCCATTAAACGTTTATCGAACCCACGATTATTATTCCTTCCTCGGTTTCTTTTTTAACCGGGACCATGTTCCTGTTCATTTCAATAACACAGAGACATCGTATTTTTCGTCGAACCGGCGGCGTCGCAGAATCGCGACCACGTAACCGTTCTCCTCGCGGCACAACTAATTGATCTTTCCAGCGCGCTTGAACCCGATAATTACCATTAGCATGCGTGATCTTGTGCACCGGGGAGATCCGATCCGTCTTTCTCGTTCTCCAAGGAGTCGATCGGCGACGGGGAGGGCGCAGGTTTCCCCTTCGGCCGGTAATTACCTTACGCGATATCGCAACCGCGGAAAACTGCGTACACGCTGTGTTTCTGTCCTCGTGGATCGTCTACGACCTTTTCAAAATCGAGATATCAGGCGTTCGAACGTACCGTTTGCACCATTTAGGAACGAATTTGATCAGATCGAACCGATATTTTCCTACGATCGACGACTGTTTTCGACGTGAGTTCCATTTGTCAACAACTGACGTGTTCGTGATCCACGCGGTGAGAAACGTGGTTGGACCGATCCATTCTATTTAACTTCGATCAACGTGTCTTCTTTTTTTTTTTTTTTTTTTTACCAAGGCCAATGTATAGTTTCGCAATGCTGTAATCTCCGTTGTTACAGGCGCGTATACACGCTGATTCCGCAAAACGACGGTAATGATACATGTCCTGTTCCTCGTAACTGTATCGATCTTCGAATGGCAATTTCGATCGCTCCAAGATGCAATAGGTATGACTCGGCGAACTGAACGGGGCGGGAGGACGGGGGAGAAAAAAATATATTGGCACTCACGTCGATACCTTCAATCGAGAATCGCAATTTTCTGTGTCACTCGGCGCACGCGATCCTCCGCGCGCGTTCCAAGAAAATCATAGGAGACAAACGGCCAGGAACAATTTTCGTCGCAACAACCCTCTGCTCTCGTTTCGTTTCTATTCTGTGCAATCCCCCACCACCCACGGTTCACTTCATTGTGTTTACCTTTGTTGTTAAAATAACACCGATACTGCGATACTTCCCTTTCTAGAGAATTTTTGGATGACTTAACGTTAGAAAAATCGAATTCTTTCAGGAAACCAAACTATTAAACAAATTATTGTAATATAATACAAGAGCTTATGTGGCAACGTTAAAAGTTATATAAAGAATATACTTTTTTTTTTTTGAAGTAGAAGAATCTCGAAGACAAAGATATTGCACATATGTGAGTTGAAATGGAAATAAAAGCGACAC